GCAGAAAAGTATGAAGACGAAATTATAAGAAATAAAGCCATGCTGTTAAGTTGAGCTGTGGGGGACTCAGGTCAATAATTTCTGACATTGCCAGTTAAACAGAAGACCCAATGCTATTATGGGCTATTGGACTCTTTTAGAATATTTTGCTGAGTTTACACACCTATAATATTCAATAATGGAACTTAGAAAAAATGGGGTATACAGATGAATGTCCATTTTGTATCTGTGTATTCAAAGTGGTTGGGATAGATATATAGTTACATTCTGTTAATGAATAGAATGATTTGTTCTAATGGTGTTTGTAAATAGGATCACAAGTCCGCATCTTGTACAGCAATTAACCACTAAGAAGAATATATGCAGTGAATTATTTGTTGAAAAATAAAAAAAAAAATGTCATTCTGTTTGTTCTATAACTTGATCTTTTTGCATGCATGGATGGTATGTATTATTTCATGCCAGTATTTTTCTTGAAATGATTTCTAATGATTGTATATAATTCATTTTTCAGCCTGTTAAGTATAGCGTAATTTTTCAACTATTTACATCTGAATTTTACATAACAGTGCAATGAACCTTGTCCTCGTTTTATTGAATGACTTTAAACAAGTAAACCATGATGAATTAACATAGTACTTAAAAAAAAGTTTGTGGAATCTTTATCTTAGCATCTCAGCCATCACAGTGATACAGAAGCAAGCTAAGTGTCATGGAGTATGTTCAGATGTAAGTATTATAGTATTAGAGATAGAAAGCAGAGCACACATACCAAGAGCAAGGGGCGGTAGCTATTTCAACAAATAACAAAGGGAATAAATTAGGCACTAAAACATTGTAATATATTCAGGTGAAAAAGACATTCACCAGTAGCTGTGTCTGTGTGCATGTGAATGTGGTGTGGGTAGTGAGATGAATGGAGGGAAAAATCTGACTACAGTTTATGACACAGGCACTGGAGAGAGCAGGCACAAAGCATGGAGCTAGTTAGCTTTGGAAAATGGTGTTTTGTCTGTTGAGTCTAAAGACAAAAGGTGTTATGTGGGTGTACTTTAGTCTAGTTGGTGAGGTTTGCCAGAGGTCATGGGTTAGCAGTTCTAAAAGCACTTTACAGTATGCCAGGGTGACGAACAGTTCAGAGATGGTGTAGCATAGTTGAGACGATAGGTGGGTAGCTACATGTAGTAAGCAAAGCCCAGTGATGATAATGACCAATTCTGCATGTGTGATTCATAGGCAGAGCTCAAATAATTTGAACAAAAAATAATGTACTGCCTTGTAATCCAAACTATTTAGTTCATATTGCATTAGGAGAAGAGACATCTTTTTTTTTTTAAATCTTTTGTTTATTTACCTGTTTGGTAAAGGGTTTTGCTATGCAGCTCAGACTAGTAGTGATCCTCCTGTCTCAGCCTCCTCAGCACTGGGATTACAGGCACGTGCCACCACACCTGGTTTTGGTGGCTGGCACTGCTCTGGGGCCTGCATGGCATGCAGTGCTGGAGATCAAACCTGGGTCTTTGCATTTGCCAGGCAGGTGCTTAGACCGCTGAACTATCTCTTCAACCTGAGCCATCTTTACAGAATTTCAAATAATTTTTGTCGAAAAATCTTCCCTTCACAGGCTGGGCTTCACCCCATTCCTTGATCCTGGGTTTAATTTAGTGACTCACTCCTAAAGGATAGAGAATGAAAGTGAGAAGCTTGACAAACCCTACCTTAGCCAAGAGTCAAGTCAACCTGGCAGGCAGCACATCTTGGTGACAGCGTGTAGTCATAATACGATAATGAGGGAGACCTGTGGCCTCCACTATGTACTTAAACACCAGTGTAATCACTAGAAAAATATGGAACAAATCTCCAGCTAGGAACAGTCTACAAGACACTGGACCAGACTGTGAAACTCTAATGGACCAGAGGAAACCAAAGAGATGTATACATAATTGCAAAGGGTGATCCTGGCTTGCATCCTGAAACAGAAAAGACTTCAGAAGACATTAAAATGAGCCCAGTGACATTAAATGAAGTGTAGAGTTCACCTGTCTTTTGTTTTTTGGAGACAAAGTTATTGCTGTGTAGTATCTCAAGTACTGGCCTTGTATTTGAGATAGTCTTCCTGCCTCAGGCACTCAAGTGCTGGGATTACAAGTCTGGCTATTTTTTTTTTTTTTTTTTTTAAGGCAATACATTTCTCCACTGCTGTTGTATTGTGCAAACATGTAAAGAGAAGTTGAAAGAAATGATCCATGTACATATACACCATCTAGAATCTATAATTAAGATTTTACCACCTTTGCTTCATTATGTATGTGTCTACCTATCAGTCCATCTTATTTTAAAAAGTATTTCGAAGTAAATTGCAAACATCAGTGCATGTAAATCGCCCTCCTCAACAAAATCAAGACAAAAATTGTTTTTGTACTAAAACTGAACTCAGCACTTTGTGCTCGCGAGGCACGTGCTTGCGCCGCTGAGCTATATCCCCACCCCACAAAGCGTAAAGTGTAGTTTCTACTTTCTTTTTGCTGTTACTGCCTAGCACCTGTAGGGCATGCCACATTGAACACCAGGTCTGTGCTTGTGTTCTTTTGAATATCAGGGAGGGAGAAAGAGGGTATCGGGTATGTAGCCACGTGCCAAAGTAGTCACAGGTGTGCATGGTCAGGTGAGCGTGCCTGGATCTGTACACGTGGGAGCTGGGCTTCATGGCATCTGTAGGGGTCCGGAAAATGACCTGATTCCTCGGCATGTGGGCAGCATGGAGGTTGCCACAGGGAAGAGTCTAGTCTGGGACACCGTGGAGCCGCTCAAGTTGGGATGTGTAGTGCTGGAGCATTTATCTGGGCAGAGCAGCACACCTGGTCATGCTGTTCTTCCCTCTGCCAGGGTCCCCTGAGAAAATACAGAAAGCAGAGCATCAGGCGAGTGTGCAGTTGCACAGAAAGGACAGCAGTCACACCCTGAAGGCCACAGAGCTGGGGCTTTGCCCAGAGGAGGACCTTCCAGCTGTTAACAGTGGCCCTATTCAGTTTGGGTGCATAATGATTTTTAAACTAATCAGGAACTAAGGCCTGAGGCAGGAGACAAACACAAATATCTTGTTGACCGAGCAAACATCTTGATTTTTGTCAGATAGGAAGGTCAGAGTGATGTAATGGTGCTCACTAAGCTTTCATCCTTAAACAGATGGGCCGCGAGGTACCATCTGCAGCTCCCTGGGGACCTTCCAAATCATTTCCTATGAATTAAATTGTCATAAGTTAGTATTGAGATATAGTGTAGTAGCTATACCAGAAGTAAAACTAGACAAAGGAAGGAAATTTCCATTGGAGTTACCATTTCCTTTTCCTCCCTTGCCTTAAAAATAGATCTAAGATTGATTAATTTGGTCACCTTTCCTGTTTAGTATCTGAATATTACTACCTCCCCCAAATAGCTGTCCAACATACGTTTTCCTTTCTCATAGAGCCCCACAATTACATTTATCCCCACCTAAGCCGCTGTTAGCTGGGTAGTTTTTAATAAGCTGAATTGCTGTTTTGGTTTTTCTGTTTTTGTTGGGGAGGAAATAGTGTTTTTATTTCTGGCTTTTTCCTTCAGCAAGGAATATTTGTTTTGAGAAGGCAAGGGCAAGGGGAAGGCTGTTTCTCAGTCTGAGGTCAGAGGAAGAAAATGTACAGCACTGTATGTAAGTGACGGGTTAGGAATCTTAATTGATGCTTTTAATAAAACATCTTAATACAACATTGCAGAGCAGAAAGCAGAGTCTACTGTATGTATCACTTTATTTGTTTAGCAGTTGCTTGCATACCAATGTGCCCAGTGCTGAGAGGATGATTCACTTGTTCTTGGGGCAAGGCGCAGTGAGAGGGAATAGTGAAGTGACCTCTATGGAAGGGCAAGGAGGTGCCCTTAGTGCTGCAGGTTGTAGAGTGAGGGGTTGATTTCTAACTGCATCTCAGGGAAGACCAGGTGAGTCATGTTAGGCAGAGGGAGATACATGAGCCCAGGTACACGTGGTTTAGAAACAGTGTGATATATCTGGGTACTGTGTATGGAGTGTAGCAGTCGACCGACTGTAAGAGGGGCAAGGAGGTCAGTTTGGAGTTACAATGAAAAGGAAAAGCCGGGGGAGGTACCTATGGGTAAGTTTGTAGGGGAAGCAGAGAGAACAGGAATTTAGGGTGTTAACGCATCAAACCTTGGCTTGGGTTTTTTGGTGAAGTGGGAAGGGAAAGCGTTTGCTGAAGCAGGATTGCGGAGAATGATGAAAATTACAATGGTTGCTGAGAGATCTGGGAGGAGCCTTTTATTTAGGATACTGAGGCTCTTTCTGAGCCCTAATGATTCCAGCGTGGCGGTGTCTTGCTGACTACTCTGTGTAGTCTTTGGGGCCTGGAGTTTACGTGATATGAGCTGAGTCCTAAACCCTGTTGCTGAGTCCCCTGATATGGCCAAAGCTCACTGAGGATGCTGACAGAGGGGAATTCTGATGATTGGCCTGGGTTCAAGAGGTCAGAGTGAAAAAGAAGAGGACTCATGGGCCACCAAAGAGCAAGGGCCCCGGAGAGAAGGATGTGCGGCAGGCGCTGTGGTCCTCAGCCCTGAGCCGCTGGATCTCTGCGAAGCACAGCAGCCGCAGTGACAGGCCAGGCTCAGCGCTGAGGTGTGGGCAAGGGCACTGGTAGTGCGGACATTGGCATCACTCATGGAACCCAGGCTGGCTGTGCTTGCAGTGCTTTGAGCTGTCTGTTCACCAGCCCCGTGAGCAGCGCTGTCACCATCTGCATCGGGAGGTGAGGCGGCCAGGCCCCGGAGAAGGGAAGAACATGCTCCAGGACGCACATCCTTCTACAGTTGACTGCTATACTTCATACAGAGTACCCAGATGTATCACACTGTTTATAAACCACATGTGGCTGGGCTCATGGATTTCCTGCTGCTAATGAACAGCGGAGTTGGGCTCTGATCTAGGTTTTTCTGCATTCTTGTTCTTTCAGGAGCTGACTACTGAGCCAGAACCTCTCAGGAGAAAGTGCACAGAACTGTGACCTAAGAATCCATCCCACCCTTTCCAGTGAATGAGAATCTACCAGAAAATAGGTAGGTGTCAGCTGAGAGGTGGGGTAGAAGGTGGTGTGACTGAGCAGGAAGAGCCCCAGAGTGGGAGGAATTTTCACCTGCTAACCCCAGGGAACTGGAGTGGAAAGAAGCTGGGTGTGTGCTGTGGTAGGACTGCCAGCAAGTCCAGCACCATGAGGGCTCGGGCCTGGGGAGCCTGTGCCATCCACGGATATCTTGCTTGCAGGAGATCCATCTCAGACGGGCCGGCAGTGGGAAGGACTGGAGGTGTGGACAGTGTGGAGCAGCTCAGCTTCCTGTTTTTTCATCTTTTTCTTCCTGCCCACCTGACCTGCCTGATGGGAGCCACATGCCCACTGGGTCTGGGTCTGATGTCAGCACACCTGCTGCAGCATTGAGCACATGGGTGAAGATAGGAAAGAGGAAGAGGGCCTGAATGTTCTTTTTTTTTTTTTTGAGACAGGATCTCTTTGTGCAATTTGGGTAGGCCTGGTGCTCGCTTTTGCAGCTCCCAGGCTGGTTTTGAATTTGCAGCCATCTTCCTGTCTTAACCTCCCCAGTGCTGGGATTATAGGCATGTGCCACCATGCCCAATTCTGGGCAAGCATGGTACACCTGGGGATTCAGGGCTGGCATGGCATGCAGGACTGGGAATTGAACCCAGGTTCTTCAGCTTGCCAGGTAGGTGCTTATTCCTCTGAGCTGTCTTACCATCCCCCTGAGTGCTCTTATAATGTCACCTCTAGCACAGGTGAGAGTCAAATCATGGCAGCTACCTGGCTTTGTAGGTGATCAACAAGCTGCAGGCCTTTGGTCACAGATTTTCTTTCTTTTTTTTTTTTTTTTTTAACAACATAGTATGAAATATGTATATTAGGAAATAGATCATATCTGGTTCTTCAGGAAAAAAAATATATATATGTATATATTTTTTTTTAGGTTGTATTGTAAAATCCTCGAGGCATGTCCAGCCTTCAGTGATGGCTAGTAGTTTTCGTGACACCCCTCTCCCCCTGTGGAGATGCAGGCCTGTCTCAGGTATTTAGATTTAATGAGGTGTCTGTGAGGTGATCTAAGATGTTTGTAAGGGAAGTGTTATCTTGAGAGTTCCTGTTATTTTATTTTATGTGTTTAGTTTGGATTCAGCAGGATTCTTTTATTCTCCTGTTGGTGACTTTAAATTCTGTGCTGAGAGGCAGGCTGTCTGAGCCATGATTTCTGTGACAGTGGGAGCATGCTCTGTGATTATATAATGACTTTGAATAAATGAAAGGATGCCTTATGGTAGGTCCTGTGAGGGCAGCCCGAGAACAGCATCATTAGAGATTAGGTTGCACTGCAGTTGGATTTGCAGCTGACACTGCAGTACACATCGGCTGTAACCTTGTGGTGTAAATAGACCTTTGTCAGCGTCTATGACCTGTGCTGGGAGGACCAGAGATGCGGGCGTCCATCAGAAGTGGTGCTGTTCCTGCCCGGTGTCTGGCTGGGTCCATAGAGGTTTACAAAAAGCAAAGGTAGAGGGCATGTGCACTGCTACGTTCTTGGGTAGTTTAGCTGTACTTTCGCTGCCCGGTCTTGTCAACTAAAAGTTTATGGTGACTTGGTGAAATTCCTTTTAAAATAGGACTAAAGTAGTGATCAGTAAGTTTACCCTCTATTTTGGGAAACGGTAATGGCTGACATTATAATGGCTGGTTATCTTCTGTTCTTTTCACAATTACCTCATTGGCCTTGTGGAAACAGGATTTGGGTGCTTCAGCCAAGCACGGTGCCAGTGCGTGAACTTACTGTGGGTGAGGAGCCTAAGGCACCGGGGGTAGCACTGCCTGCTCAGAGCTGCCGTAGTGATAACTGGTTTCCTGGAGAGCATGTGGGTGGAGAAAATGAAATTCAGGCAAATAGTGGTTTACCTTTAGATCCTCCTCATTGAAAACAGTATAGATCATAGTTTTAGAGAAGTCTTGAGTTATGAAAAAGTAAAAATGTTTAAGTACTAATTTTTATAATTACTTTTCATTAGTCATATAGTTTTATATTTTCTAATTGTGATAACAATTAAATGAGAAAGGTCCTAGAACAGTGTACTTTGTAGGTGCTGTGTTTGGAAATTTATCTTGCATGACATTTACTTTTTAAAGGATATTTGGGTGCTTTAAGTTGGGAGTAAAGACAAAAATGTTTCTTTTTTTGTTTCTTTTAAGAGAAAACGACTTTAAAATCTATATTTACTATGTAATAGGAAAGTGAAGAGGGAGGTCTGGTTTTAGGAATAGGAATGTTAGTAAATAAACGCTACCTGAAAAGTAAGTATAGGAGCAAATCTGCCAAAATGAAACACATCAATCTGTATAGCGAATAGTAAGAAATGTGTTTTTGGAGGAAACGCTACATGAATATAAAATATCTTATCATCCGGACAACTAGAATACAACATTTAGAGTACTAACAACATCTATAGAGTCCACAAAAAAAATGTGTATATACACTTCAGAAAAAGAAAAACTTGTGCAAACATTTTAATACTAAGTTTTTGAGATATCATGACATTAATATAAGTTATCTTTGGCTTTACAGTTATAAGAAGTACTCAGAGTGGTGGTCTTAGTTTCCAGACATTTGTTAGTACAGCAAACTTCTTTTTGGGTGACCTTGGTCACTGAGATTGCTACACATACATTTTCAGTTTCTTCTGTAAGGGATGATGCTATAATGACTTTTTTTTAATACTGGGGATTGAACTCAGGATCTTGTGCTTGCCAGACAGACTTGTGCCACTGAGCTATATCCCCAGCCCATGCAATGGCTTTTCTGTAATATATAACATACTCTGGGTCCCTCATAGGAGGGTCACACTATCTGTTGAAAAAACATACTGTTTTTCTTTTGAAGTATATATAAAATTTTTTGAAGGGCTCCATATTAGAAAAAAAGTTACTGTTTAGCTCACCAGTCCTTTTTGGGGTGGAGGGTGGTTTGAGATAGGGTCTTGCTGTACACAGCCCAGGCTTCCCTTGAACTCCCTACGTGGCCCAGGCTGTTTTAGTTTCTCCTTTTTGAGACAGGGTCTTGCTGTGTTTGTTGGCCAGGTTGGACATGACCTGGACTGCTCTAGCCTACTGAGTAGCTAGGACTATAGGCATATACCACCAAGATAGGCCTGCCCTGTAGTCTTTAAATAGTTTTAAAGTTTATTTATTTATTTTATCTTGGTAGGATTTTAAGCAACTGTACCAGTAAAATCCTTTTTTTCTCACACCTGCAACATCGGTACATCTATAAATTATCATCATGTGCTTGCTTAGTAATAAGCTGTTTGCTTTGTGAGATACAGAAAAATAGAAATAAAAAAAATGAGACCAGTAAACATGATTAGAAATTTTAATAGTTCCTTTCTCTACTCAGAGGTTACCTGACTTCCTCTATTTTGGAAACATCTCTTGAAAGACAGTAATCTGAAGGAGGAAAAGTATAGCGCGTTTTGAAGGAGGGTTGCAAGGTTTTGGAGTGGTATATGGGTGAGAAATGGACAGAGGTAAACGGTCAGGCAGATTGAGTGTAGGGTGATTGGGAATAAACCAGAGAGCTCTCTCTGGTCATCCCTCTAAAGATGTTTGTGACATATCACAAACTGGACTCCTGAGGATTCAAGTGTCCCTGTTAGCTTCCACCATAGCAAGCATCAGAGAACAGTAGCCATGGCCCTCTGCTGTCCCATGGCCGTGGGCCTCAACAAGGGCCACAAGGTGACTAAGAATAAGAGCAAACCGAGGCACAGCTGCTGTTACAGACGCCTCACCAAACACACCAAGTTCGTGTGGGACATGATCCGGGAGGTGTGCGGCTCTGCCCCCTACGAGTGGCGCTCCATGGAACTGCTTAAGGTCTCTAAGGACAAGCGCGCCCTCAAGTTCATCAAGGAAAGGGTGGGGATGCACGTCTGTGCCAAGAGGAAGCGTGAGGAATTAAGCAACATGCTGGTCGCCATGAGGAAGGCAGCGGCCAAGAAGGACCAAGTCCCTCTGGAATAAAGCTTTGCAGAAAAAAAAAATGTCCCTGTTAAATTGTCAGACCTCTTGCTCTTAACTGATACAGCCTGACACCATAGAAGAGGGGCGAAAATTAGAGTTTATAGACAGATACACAGAATGGCCTTTAAATTTGAAAGAATTCAACTGTTTGAAAGGAATAATTTGAATGGGGTGATGGAGAAGCTTAATTAACAATTTGGAAGTGAGAAAGTGGAAGAAAGATGAAGTTAGGGATCTTACTCTTGGGGAGTCGTGGGTAGCTAGAAGGTAGTAGGTAAGGCAGGGTGGAGGCAGACCAGGAGCTCGGGAAAGGCGGAGCAGAGCTGGAGTAGGGCAAGCTCTACCCTACTAGTGTATTTGCTGGTAGGTAAGTCTTAGTTTCCCCATAGCCAATATTTTCTAAGGATTGTCAAGTTCTATCCCTGTTTATGGTTTGAAAAGATCACAGGAACAGAGACTGTGGGGCCAAGCTGTCTTTGCTCTTCTAGGTAGAGTCCTGCACGTAGCAAGACTCCACGGCAAAACCCTTCCCTTCCATACCAGTAAGTGGTAAGGGATGCGGATTGACTTAGGATGAGTGATAGCGTTAGCTTGATAATCTGTAGTTTGCTATTTATATTAGGGACTTGATTTAACTACTCAAATAAAAGTTGGCAATTTCAGACAGAGGTAGAATTCAAATTATTGTTTCTTTTTCTTTTTTCTTTTTTTTTTTCTTTGTACTGGGAATCAATCTCAGGACTTGCACTTGCCATCAGGCACTTTGTGTGTGTGTGTGTCTGTGTCTGTGTGTGTGGGGGCAAGGTCTCAGATGTACTTCAGGCTGACCTTGAACTCACTATGGTTTGGGTTGGCCTCAAACTAATGGTGAACTCATTCTGCCTCAGTCTCTAGAGTTCTGGGATTACAGGCATGGCTTGAAATCTTGGTTAATTGAAGAACTGAAAACAGGCTAGAGAAATAAATGATTGCCCAAAGCTTAATTTTCAT